TGTGAGTTCGAGGCCAGCCTGGGCTACCAAGTGAGCTCCAGGAAAGGCGCAAAGCTACACAGAGAAACCCTGTCTCAAAAAAACCAAAAAAAAAAATTGTCCTTTTGAAATTCACTACTATGTACAGTGACTACAAAGCAACTAAAACATAGAAAAAAGAAAACCACTTATATAGAGAAAATATTCAAGTGTGTAGAAAAGTTTATATATAATACAACTCTACCTTCCACCCAAACAAAATAGCTGTTTTTATGTAAAGGTTGCGTAGACATTGCCATGGTTAGTTTTCTGTCAAAGTGGCTACAAGCCAGAGTCACTTGGAAAGAGGGAACATCAATTGAGAAAATGTCCTCACCAGATTAGCCTGAAGACAAGCCTGTGGTGCATTGTCTTGATGGATGATTGATGTGGGAGAGCCCAGATCACTGGAGTGGTGGTCCTGGGTTCTATAAGAAAGCACACAGAGGAAAACATGGGAAGGGAGCCAGTAAGCAGCACCCCTCCATGACGTCTGCATCAGTCCCTGCTTCTTAATGGACTATAAACTGTAAGGTTAAATAAACTCCTTCCTCCACAAGTTGCTTTTTGTTGTAATGTTTCACACAATAAAAAGTAAATGAATAACAAAGAAGTGATGAGTTTTGCTTACCACATGCTCCCATAATGATACTCAGCTTCACCTTAAGATCACAACAAGGGAAACAGCTGACCATGCAACAAAATATCTAAAAACATGAGATTAAAAGAATCCATTCCTTCTGTAAGGTAAGTTGGGCATTTGTTCACAGTAATGAAAGAATCTGACTAAACAAAGAAGAACAAATGTCCCCACAGGCTCTTATATGGAAGGCTTGGTCCTCAGTTGGTATCATTGGTTTGGAAGTGCTTCAAACTTTATTTGGTGGATCCTAACTGGACTTAGTAGGTCACCAGAGGGAATATCTTTGGGAGCTGTATCTTGCCCTGGCTCTTTCCTGTTTCTCTCTTTACTTCTTAGCCACAATGAGATAAACAGTTCTGATCTGTTACACCCTCTAACCTAATGGTCTCCTTCACTCCAGGACCCAGGCAATGAAACCAACCAACCATGAATGGAAACCTGTGACCCTCTTATCCAAAATGAATCTTCCTTCCCTTAAACTTTCCCCTGGGTATTTGCCACAATAGTGAAAAGTCTACTACAACAGTGCATGTATGGATGTATATGGCAACCAGTCATGCAGTATTGTGGTGGTTGAACTAACCCCAACTGGAATTTGCCAGTGCCAGTTCAGGCTATTTCATTTTATCACTGTTCTGGCATTTGGAAGAGTAGACATGAAATTAGGACTCAATGTATACTCAATGTAGGACTCAATGTATGAACAGGGCTCTGTTTATATCTAAGTCTGTATGAATTTTAGTCCCGACAAGAATGTTTCATTGGATTTTTTACAGTGTTCTTGGATCCAGAAATACACAGGTGGGTAATTATTTGTGTTTATGCATTTCAACTCAACTTGGAAAAGTGCAATTTAGTTTTTCCTTAGCAACTGAAAATGCTGTGCCAGTGTCTCCCCAGATCTGTCTCTGGAACCAGTTTCTATATAGCATGAAACCTTGAGTCTGGGGATCTTTATAAATATTGATTGCCATTCAACCTGAACTCTTTGGGTCCTAAACCTCTGCTAAAAATATCAAGGAAGATACCAAACTCTTAGTTCTTCTGAAGCAGAATCCAACACCTCAGTATCTTGAGTGGTATATGCTTAGCTGAATAGAAAACCACATTCTGCCTTATACTGAGTTTTAAGCATCCCATTATTCTGACATCTTCTAGCAAACACATCTCAGCACAAATTCTGGTCACACTATCCTTCTGTTATGTAAGCCACCAGGATCTTAGACTTTCAATACAACTCTCACCTACAGAGTGATGTAATACATAACAGTTTTGCAGTCTTCTTCAACCAGTCCTTACATGAGATTTTTCTTCCAGTGTATTGGAGATACTGTGATGATAGTTGGTAAAGAACAATTTTTTCTGTTCAATGACTAATGAAACAAATTAGAAAATGCAAATTGGCACATGCTTTTAATCCCAGCACTTGGGAGGCAGAGGCAGGTAGATCTGAGGCCTGGTCTACAGATTGAGTTCCAGGACAGCCAGAGCTACACAGTGAGACCATGTTTCAAAAAAAAGAAAATGCAAATTTAGCATTCAAATAATTTATCTATGTAGTAATAATCCCTTGGGTTTATCACTTAAATAGTGAAAGAGACATGAGTTTCCATGTTTTTTTTTCAGAGGTGGGGTGGGTCTCAGTATTTTCTCCAGGATGGCCATGAACACTATTTCTGTTTTTCTTGGCTTCGGGAGTGCTGAGGCTATAGGAATGTACATTTTCCTTATAGTTGTTTATAGACATTTGAGTTTGTGTTGTCAAAATCATCAAATGACTTTATTTTTAATAAAAGTCCAAATTATACAGTATTTATCAAGTAATACACACTTGAATTGTGGAGATGTGTATGTTAAAGGAAAATTTATTTGAGACCCAAGATTATTGCTTATAAAATGCATAATTTGCTTTTTGACTTAATGAAGTATTTACTATCTCCAAGATGCAATTTTTATTAAAATAGAAAATAAAGTCTTATAAGCCAATAGGATGAAAAATATATAAAGGAAGGCACTCTTGAAGTTTTTTTTAATTGCAATCCTGTCTACCTGCTTTGGTAAATGCCTATGAATCTCTTACAGTATGAAATTTATCTTGACTGTTACATTCATATTGTGTATATGCTGTCAAGTCTAAAAGATGTCCTACTTTTTTGCTGCTACTAGAATGTTTGTGGGGAATGTTATGATTCAAATTTCTTAAAGAGCCCATTAGTGGTAGAATCTTTGAAAAACCAATATGCACTATTCATACTGTATTACCGTAAAAAAAAAATCATCTCTCCCATCAGGTAGGGAGAAGAAAAGGGAAGTTTTCATCTCCAAAATCTAAAAGGAAATCATTTAGGCTTCTGAAGACCAGAAGTAAAAATACTTTGGATATTTCCACACCCCACCCCTGCATGTACCAATTTGGCATCAAGTTTAGTGTATTCTTTAAATTGTTTGGTTTTTTTTTTTTTTTTTTTGGTTTTTTGAGACAAGGATTCTCTGTGTAGCTTTGTGCCTTTCCTGGAACTTGCTTAGTAGACCAGGCCTTGAACTCACAGAGATCCTCCTGCTTCTGCCTCCCAAGTGCTGGGATTAAAGGCATGCACCACCACCACCCAACTATTCTTTAAATTGTTATGATAAATTATTCCACTTATATTTCTATCTCTAGTTACAACATCCTCACCCAGGGTATTTTTTGGTAAAAAAAAATTGTTTGTGCATATGTACACATGTGCATGCGTGCGTGCGTGCGTGCGTGCGTGCGTGCGTGTGTGTGTGTGTGTGTGTGTGTGTGTGTATGTGTGAAGGTGCCCTCAGAGGCCAGAAGAATCCTATCCCCTGGATACAGAGTTACAATCAGTTGTAAACTGTCCAATATAGATGCTGGGAACCTAACTATGTAAAAGCACGAAGTGCTTTTAAACATTAAGCTATTTCTCCCATTCCCACCCAGAAATTTTCATTTGCTAACAGATCAGTAGGAACCACCTTCTTAAAAAAATCAAAGCAATATACTGTCACTCAAGCTGCTGAAATCACTGCAGTGACTCCTCGTTGCTTTGCTTTTTTTTTCTGTTTTTTTGTTTGAGATGGAAAACTCAAGATCTTCTTGCTTTGCTTATAGAATTTGGGGATTACAGGCAGTATTACACCTCACATGTCATTGCCCCATCTACTTGTCCAGATTCAGTGTTTAGGAATTTATCTTCTTAATAAACAGCTTCTAGGTTCTTTTCTTTAGTCTCCTGGGCTTTCTGATTTCCTTCTGGTTCAGGTGTTTTGTTGTGTCTTTTGTATTTACATGACTGATTTTTCATATTATCAGCTTGCTCTTTCCCTTGAATTCCAGCTTGACTAATGACTTTAAAGGTGTTGAGTGTTCTGTGTTGCATGAGTTGGTTGAGGAAAGAGGCTACTCCAGGAGGAATTTTTAGGCCTGTTGGCAGCAGGAAGGTCCAGACTCTGATAGTCTGGACCCCGAATTGCCATTCAAAGGCATATTATTACACAAAGTTTTTGAGTAAACAACTTCCTCATACTAAAGTCTTTGATCTAATCCACATGTCTGCTGAGGGAAAGCATCATGCCCCTGCTACTTTAGTCCTTATTGTGTACCATTTGCAGTACCCAATAATCCAAGAGCTTCAGGTGTGCCAGAAGCATCTTGTGACCAAAGTATTGCAAAGGCTGTAAAGCTCCCTCAGAAAAATAATTCTATAAATCACAGACAACAATCACTGTTTTCCACAATGATTTCTTCAAGGTCAAAGTACTTGTAGAAAACAACTATTCATTCTACTGTTTACCTTATATACAGTGACTCTACTAGATCCCTGCAACAGTAGGAGGGCCTCTCACCAAAACGGTATATTATATAGACACTGTCTTAGTTAGGGATTCTATTGCTGTGAAGAGACACCATAACCACTGCAACTCATATAAAGGAAAACACTTAATTAGGGTAGATGACTTACAGTTCAGAGGTTCAGTCTAATATCATCATGGTGGGACCAGCAGTATACAGACATCATGGTGGTGAAGTAGCTGAGAGTCCCTACTATGGTGATATTTTATTTGTGCTGAAATGTGATTTTATTTGTATGTTAATAAATAAAGTTGTTGGAGATTAGAGGTAAAAAGCAAGCCATTAAGCAGAAGTCCAGCGGTGGTAGCACATGCCCTTAATCCAATCACATGGCAGGCAGAGTCTCTGTGTTCAAGGACTCAGCCAAGCGTGGTGAGATGAGCCTTTAATCCCAGTACCAACCATAGAGACCTGGAGGTCTGTATAGACAGTCAGTGATGAGGAAATCATGTGGTTGGGTTTAGAGCCAATGAGAAGGCAGAATAGAAAGGCAATAAAACACAAGTCACACAAGGAAGAAGGTCTCTCTCTCTCTTCTCTCTGAGGAAGCAACGGCTGCAAGGTGGTAAGATTAGGTACTAATGGCTCTTGCTCTTATCTCTTTGGCTATTTCCTCCGTATTTGGCTCTGTGTTTCTTATTTACTAAGACTGTTTAGAATTTCATCTACAGCCTACATCTTATAGTCAATAGGAAGCAGTCTGTCTCACTTGCAGTATCTTGAGCATATATGAGACCTCAAAGTCTGCCTCCACAGTGATACACTTCCTCCAACAAGACCACACCTACTCTACAAGACAACACCTCCTAATAATCCTAATAACACTCCTTTAGGAGCCATTTTCTTTCAAACCACCACAGACACGAATGTACATAAAATTGATATATTGCCTTTTCCAGGACAATGTAAATAACTACTATGATATT